GGATTACTATCACAGAAGTACTTGTATAGTAGAATCTGCATGCAATGAATCCTGAAAGCCCTGAAAGGGTATTACATGTGCACAGATTGTCAGTACACTGTACACACTGCACAACTAGGACTGGGGCCCAATCCCTTCAGTGTGTCTTTTCCTATTAATCTCTGCATCTGCACTAAATTCAGTGCCTCAAATTACAGATAGTCTGTGTGGTTAGCCACTGAAGAGAGAACGAATCTCTCTGGGATTTCCAGATGTCTTGCTTTGTACTTCCAAAAGGGATATGGAGCACCTGAAATTCTGAAGAAATGTCCAAAGTCTCCAAATGCTTTGGATAGAAAAAAAAGAGGACCTGTTTTGGAAATCCAGACATATGGCAGTTCTGGGAAAGGTGCTCTGTTTTGTAAGAGAGACAAGTCTCTACAGGTTTTGGGAGGTATGTGTGGGGCAAGCAATAATACTTCTAAGCCTGTTGGGGCTGTTTAAATCCAAAGTACTAGAAGTAATATAGCAACAGTCCTTCTAAGATGACTACCTTTCTTTCTATGTTTTCATTGGATGAAATGAATTACAGAATATTTTGAGTCTTAGTCCAAGTCAGCTACAACTTTGGATGAAAATCAAACCAACTTGTCTCCACTTAAATCTCATATAAAAGCTCTATAATGTAATAAATTTTATAGATGTCTAAAAAAAATACACTTTTAAATTAAGTAGCATTTAAATGATTTATTGTATTATTCTCCATTGTCTAACCCAATTAAATTCACATTTGAGATTAAATTATGCCTAGGTCATATTATTGATAGGAAATATCTCAGTGCTGTTGCTTCAAACTTTGCTATGATGGCATCCTTTGTATACAAATCTAAAAGGAATTCAGGTCACATGCATTTCTTAGTTCAGTGGGCAGATCCATGACACTTTGGTGGGAAAATAACAATATGTGGGTCCAGATTCAGCAAGATTTGCTTTGACATTACTCTCATTTTAAGTGCTAGGATATTGCACTGTCTTCTTGAGTTACAGCCATGCCCTAAGCATTCATCTCTGACTGACAACAGCAAAAAACACTGATTCTCAAAATCTGTCAAGATTAGATTTAGGCTGACAAAAGACAAATAAGTTAAACTTGTATAATACTTATTATATTATAATCCTTTGAGAATGCCCATGTGACCCTGCTAGTAAAGTTATAGTCAAAGCTTTTTCACTTTTCCTTAACATTCTCATTGCTTTTCAATGCAATTGATCCTTCAGGATTTTTAATCTTGGCCTCAGAACCGCTTGTGTTTGAACTGTGAAAAGCATTATGCTGAAGAAGAACATTAAAACATATTTAAGTGCGATTATGTGGCAAGAAGTAGTACTCAAAAAAGCCACAATGGGGGATTTTATGTTTATTATCAGTTGCAGTTCACATCTGCTCTATTCACAAAAAAAGAGGGAGGAAAAGATGTTATTTCTAACTGCTAGTTTTTAAAAATCAACCTGGGACTTCACTTGATCTGTTTTTGCATTACTAGAAGTAAAAGTTACTGTAAATTGTAACTCTGTAATTCTATTGATATGTGAATCAGCAGCCACAATAAACCCTTCAAATACCTTATCTGCCAGGGATGCAAATAACAGTAATTGTTGAATAATATTCTCTAAATTTCACTTTACTTTTGGCTTTGCAAAGTGGTTATAAAATAGCCTGCTATTTGCATAATCATTTTTTAAAAAAACAACAACTATGTGGGGAGGATTTAAGTCCCAGATGAAAAAAATGAGGAACAGCTATAATCTCCAATGAAGTGGCATTTCAGCCTAAGTGACAGGCAGAAATGGAAGATGACTTGCATACAGATTATTTGTAATGTGCTGGAGTTGGGATGCACCAACTAGAACAATAATACGTCGGCAAGAGCTTTGTTCATGTCCATGGGATTTAGGATCAATGAAGTCATTAATCTCTTAACATTTGTGGATAAGTCATAATAAGAAGCTAACAAATAAATGGCTGTTGTACACCAAAGACTGTCAGTTCTGGATTTAAAGGAATGAATAGTTCGCTACTTCTGCATGGCCAGCGGCAAGCCACTCTTGCTCACAGCTTTGTGCTGCATTGCTACCCCAGTCGCCAGAGGCCCACGTTATCTCAGGCCCCACTGACCCTGCTGCAGTGCACAGGGGCACAGCCCGGGACTGCCAGCACGGGGGAAGGCGTCTGCAGCAGTAGCCGCAGAGTGATGAGGAAGGGCTGGGGTCCAGCTGTGGAGGACAGGAGGTGGCAGAGGATCTATCAAAGACAGCAGTGATTAGATTTGCTCCAGAAATTGCTAAGAATTGCTGAGCTAAGGTACATCTTTTAGAAAAATTAATGCTGTTGATTCAAACGTAGCTGTAGTTGACAGTATTCCACAACCTAAGCAAACTGATCTAGCAGCAGATTATTCTGAGTTTCAAAACCACACACCTTTGCAAAACTGAGAGAGAAAGCCAACAGGTCCAGGCTCTCTGAGGGATAGATGCAGCATGGCGGGAGCTTGTTTTGTTAAGACAGAAACGTTATTTCTTTTAAACATCTTGGCACATCTTTCTCTTATCCAAGAATATGCTTTCTTTTGGGTAGTTTAGCAGTATTACTTAAGCGGTAGAAGGTTATTGGGGCCTAGACACATCAAGTCACCTATGATGCACATACTGTGCACTTCTTTGTTCTCTGCTTTCCAGGCTTCCTGCCTCTCTAGGATTGCTTCTGTATATGCAATATGCAACTATTGCTTAAAATGGTGTTGCAAATGTCAAACACTTAAGAAGATACAAAGATAATACCTTATTTTATCACTCTTTAAATTCAAACTTACGTATTGCCCCCCCCAATTGATGAAAAAAAACAATTTGCCCATAAAATGAGAAATGGGATTCTGCATAACTCTTCCTACCTACAGTCTACACACACTATTGATGACACTTTAAACTCCTGACTTAATTGGCTTTTCAGTGTCAGTTTTTATTTGTATATTAATATCACAACGGAAATGAAAATTCAAGAAGCAGAAAACAGCTACACATGTTTGATGTTGTATGTGAAAGCCTTAGATATTTAGCAACTTCTCTGATGCTTTGATCTCTGAAGAAATCTGACTAAAATTATGATCAAAGGAATTTATATTATTCCAAGCACTTAAGAACGAACCATCTTAGGGCAATAATCAGTATTCTGTTTAATCCTTCACCCTTGGAATCCATTACTGCTAAGCACCTCAATCTGATGGGAGTTGCATTTACTTAAGCATGATATTCTCCTAAAACAGAATAAGAAGTAACAGAAAGCAACACTTCCAACTTACAGAAAGAGCTAGGAATTGGATTTTATTCTTCTGGCTAAAAAGTGTTCTCTGAAGCTGTTTTTTAAACATACATAACTTAAGAAAATTGGTATGCAGCTCATTATGAGACCATTCAGATTTTTATTCTTCTACAGCAGACAAAGAAATAGAATTTCCAATACACAGCTACTTTTAATTTAATCTATTTCTAACTATTTCCTATTGTCAGTGTTTATAGAAGACTATTACACAGATGGATATATCTAATATTTATAAAGTAAATTAACACTCTACTTTATAACATGCAAAGGCAGATAAATAATGAATTATCCTTTTCATCAATCTGACCACATAATGTCTATTTCACTGTAATATTAAGTACCACATCAGACTGGTTGTTGTATCCCCCATGGCAAGTTAAATCAAACAGTGTGATACAAAGAATCCTCAAACTGCAGCATACAGAACAGTAGAAGAACATTAGAGCCAAGCAAGATTTAACAAAAACACTAATTACTGGTTATATTATGGATTTACCACTAGTAGTTGATGAGAGGTAAAGGAGGGTTGTACTTTTGCAGGAGCAAATAAGAGATCAAACCATGACTCCTGGTCACAGCCACAGTCTTAACAACCTCCCACATCCTGACTAAGCAATTCCTCCTCCCATTTTACCTGTGCAGATTATTGTTCTTCCTGCACAACCCACCTGCAAAGGTGGACTTTAATCTCATAGCGGTTTTCTACCAACTATTTATATTGCCGTTCTCCATCACTCTTTAATGGTGAAAGATTAAGAGTAGACTAATGTGCAAACACATCTGACTCTGAACACACTGTTGTAAGCATTCTTCCAAGCTGACAAGAAAACATGCCTACTTTAAATGAAAATCAATCTGTTAAATCTGTTAGCTCCAGCTCATTTGGACTGGCACTACTTTAAGAGCTCACAAAGAGGTGTGCTGAAGCAGTAATAGCTTTGAAAGTTGGCAGAGGCACCAGGACTGCAAGCGCATCTGAGGGAACCCAAATAGATGACAGAGGCAGACGCAGGTTAATCATGCCTCTGACAAACTCATTGGTAGGTTATCTTTCTTTTTGGGCTGAGTGGCTTGAGAACAAGGCCTGTCAAGGAAATGTTTTCAAAGGTGCAAGGTTAATTCACCCTGGAGCACCTTCTGTCCTGACTTCAGCATTCTGTACAGTTCAGTTATCACACCCTTATAGACCCACTTTGTCTTTTGATCTTGTTTATATCTACACCACTGAAAACCAGGAAGCTGCACAAACAAGGAGATACTCCTCCAACACAAGAACATCATAGGACTCCTAAAGGCACTCACACAGCCAAAACTCTAGTCACAAGCTTCATGTGAACTGTGAGGCTCAGGAATTCCTCCATGTTCCCGGGACTGCGGACTGTAGGACAGTTAATCAACAGCTACAGAACAACAGCCAGGCATTAGAGCAACTTCCAGGCAAATAACTTTGCCTCATTAGAGTTCATAAACCAGCTGGCACAACAGAATCTTCAGTTGCCCTTAGTACCAGGCCCACTCCATGGCTATTTCAGGCCTATGACCCTGGGAAAATGTAACATAAGAAGCAGTACCACCTAGTAACTTAACTTCAGTTCTGCTATCAAACCCAGTGATGAAATGCTTTTATCCCTCAAAAATTACTTACTTGATTAAAGTGCTGAAGTTTATCAATTAAATTACTGATGAGTGGGTCCAATCCTCTGACTTTCAGTTCTGGATTATTAGTTTGTGCCTTCAGTCCATTGGAAACAACTCTGCTGGTGTAACTGAAAAAGAGGAAAAAAAAAAGAAAGCATCAGTGACTGGAACCATATCCATTGGAATAAAAAAATCATATTAAAGGGGACTTACAAAAAGCAAGTATTTTGTAAATGGGAACAGAAATTTGTAATAAATATTTATGGTTTTAAATACAACAAACCAGAATAAAAATCAGTGTCTTGCAGTATCATTCATCACTTCAAACTATTCTAGTCATGAACCAACAACAATTTCATAAACCACATAGAAGTTCCTTTCATTCATATTTTAATATTTGAAACTTTATAACTGACGTTCTCAAGTTCTTCCATACAGCAGTCAAAGCTGATAGCTTCCAAAAAATCATTCTTTCATAATTACTGAAACCTGGGGAATTTAAGACAGAAACTAAACATCATGAGATTGAAGTCCAATGAAACGGCAGTCTGATTTTGAAAAGATTCTTAATCAAAGTGTGAGATTGGACTTCTCTTGCTAGACTAGGAGTTTATCATCAAACTGTCTATAGACACTGTAAAGCAGCACCTGCCATTCCACCAGTGCTCCTCACCATGCCTTATCTGCATTACGAACTCACTAGGCAGGGTCCATGTACAGGAATTCTCTCTAACCAAGTCTTCCTTTATTTGAAGAATAGCAGCTGTTCTCACACTGCAATGAATTGTCTCTTACCAGCAATCTTCTCTCACCAGCTGTTGACTAAACAGTTTCTGCCACTCTTTCCTGGAATACACCACAGTGTATTCTCAGAACCTAACTGGCTTGGGGCTCCACCCTTGTACTTTCACAGGGAAAATTCCAGGATTGTGCACATTTGGTCTCTACTTCTGAACATGTCTTTACGACAGCTGAGGAGGTGAACATATCAGCACACGTATGCTGAATCCAGTGCTTCCTGGAAGTATCCAAACTACTGCGTATCGGCTCTAGCATCAATCTGTTCATGCATGATTTAAGTTCAACCCATCCACAAGACTGCAAATCCCAGAGAGATACAGAGCAACCTTTTTTGGCAAGTCATGTTTTTGAGGGTTGTATGTAACCACTCTCATTAGTTCAGCACTCATTTGTCACAAAGTGGATCATGGATGTTTGCATGACCAGTCATGAACTGGACAAGAGACTGTTCCCAAACCAAACTCCCTTAGACTCGCATACATGCCTGGGAGGATCTCATTAAGACGCCATTTTGGCATCTTTATAAGTCAGGTATTAATTGCCTGTGCTCCTTTAGACTGAAATGCCAAGAGAAACATCCTGCTACATCTTTCATTTTGATCATACCTACATACTTTGATATCCCATATATTCTCCTATCAGTGGATTCTTCACTGTAAACCATTTTGTGCTGAAGCTGAGGACAGCATTTCAAAGTAAAGTGCCCAAATTCCATTGTAGAAAGACAATAGAATGTGGTGGGAGGAGACCTAACTCTCCAAATATATTTGTCCTATCTTAACTTCATTTAGGATGAACAAAAATTTTTATGCAAACTGCTGGCAAAACATACTGTAGTATCCTGCTGCAAAAGGTGTGGCTTAAAAAGAGAAAGAACTGAGAATGGTCCACCTTTTCAGCAAACTCAATAAATTTCACTTCTCAGGAGAAAAAGAAAAAGAAATAGTTTAGAACAAAGAATTGAGAAAAATCATGGGTTTCACTAATAGCCAGAGAGTATTTAGAGGACAAACAGCAAGGAAAACCTTTTTCAGTGAGTTCGTATTTTTTGTTCACTGAGCCTTTTAAAGGTAATGGTCTAATTTTTCTTGATGTGTAACTCATACAAGTATAAACTAATCTGGAGGTATAAACTTTCACAATGCAATGGCATGTCCAAAATGATGCTCAGGTTCTGATCTTCCAAGCAGACTCAGATAGCTAGACCAATGTCCCCAAGAAGAACCCAGCTAAAGTATTAGTTTGAAGTCAAGACTGGTATAGATCCACATCAATTCATTTGGACAATACAGGAACACTGCTGCACTTTACCTGCCTTTAGATTTACTTACCTTTATTCACAAATCATACTATTTGCTGAATGGTCATCATTGTTCATCATGTGAAAATACGTGGTTACCCACTGTAGATGTACAGAGACACTTGACATAGCTTTTTGAGATCATCTAGTTGCAATACAAGAGAAGCTTAATTTGGTGGGTCAGCTCATGGCCTCCACTAGTCTGTTCAGTGATTCTCTGTGTGCATTTCTTTGTCTGATCAGAAACTCATCAACAGCAGCAAAAAGCAAGGGTTTTCCTTTTCATTGCTCCTGACTGCTCTCCATTCAACCCCAAGTTAGGGCTACCGGAATTTCTCTAGAGGTTTATGTCATTATAAACCAGGATAAAGAATGCAAAATTGCTTCCCCTCTGGGTTGGTTCAGGTTTTTTTTGGCAATTGATATTGGGTTTTTTTCCCTGTGAATCACAAGCCTCCATTAAATGCCTCTAAGTGGTATTACAAACCTACAGCACTACACGGAGTTTGCATAAACATGACCGATCCAAGGACATCAGCAGCAGCATCATTAATGCCAGAATCCTCAAAGGGACCCAAAATGTGGAAAGTCAATCTCAGTCAACTCATATATATTGCTGTTGCTAAATACATACTCTAGTTTATATACATCGTTATCAGGAAAATAGGACCATTTGGTATGAATGAGTTCACAGTCCACTGAGACAAAGGGGATACTCATATCCTTCAAGTTCCATTCACGTTTAAGGACTCACTCTCTAAAGCTCTAGAGATAAGCATAAATTATGCACATATATTTCTGTTGCCCAGATTGCTTGTAATTAGACTCATAATGTGGATTACCTAAATTTCAGATGTCAGAGAAAGCATGCATGAGTTGCACAAATCCTGCATCATTTGCTTATCTCCTTGGTCTAGCATAGCTTCAGTATGGCAGTCACTAAAAACTACATCTAACTGCTAACTGCGAGGCTCCAGCATATAAGAGTTGGCCCAGCTGTAGTCTGGAATGCTACCTGCACAAATGGAAATGCCCAGAAAACCAACTACAGACCTTTGGCAGTGGTGAAATAGATGGGATCTGCCAAATAAATGGTGAAGAAGCTGATGTAAAGAGAGGCAAAAGACTTACTTGCAGAGCACAACAAAACCAGCTGTGGGGTTTCCCCATAATTACCCATAAGCTCTGCTTGTCCTGTGTGCTCTTACTGAGAGATCACGTCTATAACAAGCCCAAGCCCAGAAAGACTCAGATGAACTAAAAAATGGTGAGTTCAGAAAAGGTGGACTACACCTTTTGAGGAGAAGGAGACAAGGGAGAGAACTGAATGAGAATTGCATAGCCAGAGAGAAGGGAGAAATTCCTCCAGTCCATCACAGCCAAGAACCAAAGACTGTACTAGAAAAAGACATTATGTTGATCTGACTCAGACTACTACCCTGTAAACTCTGAATCCTTCTACTAGCTCTGTATCATGCTAAAATACTTTGAAATAAACACTATATATTTCCTGAAGGATAATCTGATTACTTCACTTCTTTGCACTATCTAAAACATTTTTTTTTGTTGACATCAGATCCTGAATTACTGGAAATATACATTAAGTAAGATCAGAAATTGGCTTGCTTTATTTAATAACCTGGAATTTAACTGAAATATTGTAGTACAGAATTGTTAACTCTGGTTACAGCTCTAGTATTTTATTCATACTAAACCCAGAAATGTCAGCAGGAATTGCCAGGAAAGTTGTATTAAAATATTGTCACTAGAGCAATCCTGAAAGTAACTGTTACATTGGAAGCCAGGGAACAGCACGCGCAGACAAAATTTTCATCCAGACCAGAAGCCTCATGCCAATAGTATTCCACTGATCATTTGGGCAGAGCTTTGATACTTTAAAAAACAAACAAAACCAAATTACAAAAAACAACCCCCCCCAAACCCAGTTTTACAGCATTTCAGAAGAACAGTATCAATTATTTTAGATCTTAGCTAACACAGCTCATTGCAGGTTTAAAAAAGGTAAAAAGTGAAATGCTGTTTACACATGGGATTGCATTTCAACTGAAGGTACACATTCTTATTTTCTCTATAAATACAGATAGATTAAGATATTGAGTTTAAACACTTATTTTAAAATAAAGCCAGATGCTATTCTGAAATGTGTTCTTTTTCACTCCTAATGTGAAAAGGCATCCAGGTACAGGATTCCCTCAAAGACAAATATGCCTTTTTAGACAGTTCGATACTTCAAAAACAACATATAAAATAGAAATAACTTCAAATTCCAGGCAAATGGCTGCAGGAGCTGCATTAGGGATAGATCTAACTAACAGTGATATTTAGCCACAAAAGCCCAAGAAACAGGGCACTGTTTTCACACCACTTCCTTCCCTCCTCCTTGCAGGAGACCATACCAGTCAGGACACAAGTGTCAGAGAAAGCTCTTGTAGGCAGCTTTTCCAAGTATTATTGATCAAGCTCCAGCTGGGAGTCTATTTCCATTACTCCATATTCCTCGGGGTGCTATTACCCTGAGTTGTGCCACTAGCAGCCACTAAGCACCCCAGTGCTTTGATTCAGTGGCTAATGGCCTGTCCTTTTCCTGAGTGAGCTCCAGCACGTGTACTTACCAGAGGGATTACAGAGCAAGACACCACACACTTCATAGGCTTTGTAACATGCACTGAGCATTTCAGAATTATCTATATTGGAAATTCAGGATACCCGGAACCCGAACTTCATCTGAATGCAGTTCTCTTAATTTTAGTTCTCTTTCCTCCACTTGAGTATTTGGCCCAACATGGCTGCATAAGAGACATCAGAATTCTTACTTAATTGTGGGAGAAACGAGAACATCTAACATCACAAGGCAAATCTGAAAATCTGAGCCTCACATTCAGCTCAGAGGAATCCATGAACTGCCATAAATGTCTCTGTGGGACAGAAATTGCTTTTGATGAAATAATTTGTTGTACAACCTTGAGAGTTGCCATATACAGAAAATAAGAATAAAATGCACTGGCT